GGACAAACTGGGCAGGTTTAGGACAGAAGCCAGAATCCTGGTTCAGGACAAAGTCTACAAAATAGCTATACAAAGCTCCATCCATCTTATTGTTTTCGTAGGGGAAAAAAAAGTCTTAAGGTTCTCTGTAATTAGGGAAAAGTCTAAAAAAGAAGTGCTGAAAGATCTAGGAAGCAGTTTTACAGTATGGTAAATAATATTCAGCTTGCTAGCTTATAATCAGGAAAGGACAGGTTAACTCAAGATACTCACTTGTTTTAGGAGTGTATGAGCAATCAAAAATTTAGCACCACACTTAGGCAAGTAAGACATTATGAATAGTAGTTATTTTTTGCTAAGTGTTTTTTTTTTCCACATGAGAAAATGTGATTTTTTTTCCCATTGTAATGAAAACATGAAACTATTACAAATGTGCACTTGACAGCAAGAAACTGTAGAGTCATCCTGTCAAGGTTATTCAATTCCTTTATATCCCTTAAGACAGGCTTATCATAGCCAGATGCCTGTGGCTCCCATCTGTAATCCTAGCTACTTGGGAGGCTGAGACCAGGAGGATCATAGTTCATTGTCAGCCCTGGCAAATAGTTCAAGAGACACCATCTCCAAAATAACCAGAGCAAAATAGACTGGAGATGTGACTCAAGGTGCAGAGCGCCTGCTTTACAAATGCAAAGCCCTGAGTTCAAGCCTCAATTCCCCACCCCCCAAAAATATCATGCATTTATACCATTTCATATGAAATAATCTCTCATTCCCACTGCCTGAAAGAACGACAATGGAGGGCAGTGAAACTGAGTATTTAGTTTATGGAAGGCCAAGAACTTAGAAGCATAGAAAAATGTCTCTGGGCATAAAATTTTTGAAAAAATATATTAACTATTAACTGCTACAGAAAACATTTTAACTCTAGGCTGAAGAGTTTAAGCCCTTCCTGATAAGAAGAATTGCTTAAATGAATAGGTTTCTGGGCTGGTCATCATAGGCCAACTGAAGAATGTTGTTTTTTATGACACATGGACCTGGAATGTATAAACATGTAGAACAATCCAGCAGTTTCCCTAAAAAAAAAAAAAACCAACTATCTTTTACATTCAATGGAAGAATAGGGATTGTTTTTCCGAACTCAATTTGCTTCACACCTTGTCTTAATTATTCACCATTTTGCTTGACTTTGATCAACTTCCTCAAGGAGGATTGTAGAATATTCTTTGGTAGCCTTTACAGGAAGGTAAATCCACTGATTTTACTGATTTTTAAGCAGGTAGTTTGACCTGCTTAAAAATTCAAGCTTGCTGGGCTCACACCTATGTAATCCTAACTAGCACAGGTAGGAGGACTGCAGTTCCAGGCCAGCCTGGGTAAAAGGTGAGACCCTACTTATTATAATAATAATAACCTAAGCAAAAAGGGCTGGAAGCATGGCCCAGTGCACTTGGTTAGCAAGCACAAGGTCCTGAGTTCAAACCCCAGTACTGCCACCAAAAAAAAAAAAAAAAAAAAGAACAAGTAGCATAAGTAAGGAAGGTAATCCAAAAAGCTTCACTGATAGTGATAGTGTCTATGCATTCTTGTTACTAGTCCAAAGTGATCCCAGGCAGGTTAGGTTGAAATCCTGAGGCAATCTGAATGAGTCTAAGTCCAAAAATGTGGCATCAAACGCCACAACCTGGAGACCAAAAGTATGTGCTGAAGAATCAAACAGGCCTAGCTTGAGTCATAACTCAGTGTGCTAGATATGGTACTGGACAATTAACCTCTGATTTTCCAATCCCTAATATGTAAGTCAGTATAATAGGACAGTTATGAGGCTCATATGAGGAAACAGAAGTCAAATACTTAGCGCGATGAGGTACATTTGATTTTCTTCCAACCCTGTCTTACAGTGGGTGCTGGCTCTGACAGTTGTAGCAGAGGACCGGATTCTCTGTCCAGCCTCATTCTTTTCCTTTCTTTGAAGTTAGAAGTGGGGAGGGCATGGTGCCTAGTGAGCCAGTTCCCATATGCTCTGGCCCCTCACACCAGATTGCCTATCTAAGCTCAGGGGCTTTTCTTCTTTTTAATATCTCCCATCAAGTTCAAAGACTTATCCTTCCAAAGAATATGAACCATAGTCACAGTTTATGATGTCATGTTTTCTGTAATGCTTTGTTGTAGTTGGTGAAATATTCACAACCTCAGACATTGCTTAGATCTTAAAAGAATTATAAGAGGAAGTCAAACTCCATTCTTGAGTAAAATGCAGCAGAGCAACTAGAAATCCCACTGGGCAATTAAAACATGACAAGCTAAAAAAAAAAACAAAAAAAAAAACCTATCTTTGGATCATTAAGCAAAGTCAGTTTAGACTCTTATTTAACTAGGACTCTATCCTAATGATTTATTTTAAAATTAGGATACATTAGCCACATTTTAATCTAGTCATGGATTTCAAAAATTGCATTCATCATAATATTGCATTATGTTGTCTAAAAATCCAAGGTGCATTTTTTTTTCATTTTTATATTCTGGTAATTAGGCTGTGTTATGATCCATGTGTAGTTATGTGGGAATGGTTCTTTTTCTTTAAAAATTGATCTTACAATAAGGACACACCTACAACTGATGGAGTCTGAGACTTATGGAAAATTGTATATAACTGGGAAAAAAATTTAAGGAAAAAAGGAAGTGAGGGAATAGGCTTTATCTTAAAATATTTAATCTAACTTTAAAAAGCTCTTGATCCTTATAGTTTACATTTGCCAAAAGGAAAAGAAGTCCTCTGAATGCTGACATGACAACAGGCACAGAATTAACTTTTAGATCTTAAACTCAAAATTATTTTTAAGCCTATTGCTCCCAAACTCCAAATACTACTAAATCTATAATCTTATTTGCTACCTATCTATCAGAACTAACTGATGATATAAGAACCAACTGGTCTTATTGTAGATAGGAGGAATAAGATAACCTGGTTTTCCCATTTTTTTAAACATTTATAGACAGAAAAAAACTTTATGCTTCATTTTTTTCCAAGACCAAACACTGTAAAAGCTCTCCTGCTTTTTCCTTTGATTATACTAATATGCATTATGAAAACATTCTTTTCATTCTTTTGATGTTGTTTGCTCCAATGGCTTCAGGAACTCTACAATATCTTATTTTAGGCTTCATTAAGAGGGGGTGATGCCCATAAAATTTTCTTATCAACAAAGGAAATTTTGATTAAGGTACAAAGGAGTTACTATCAGGATGCATGTATATGGCTATCATACATGTATGTGATGTTTTACAAACACTCCACATGCTTTTGAATTACAAAAAGTATGACACATTCCGCTTATTATCCATATTTGGTATTCTCTCATTTGGAGTCTTATATTTGCACCTTTCCAAGAATCATGGTTAAGATCAAAAGGCAATGTTAGGTTTGCTGGTATGCACTTGTAATCCCAGCACTCAGGAGGCTGAGGCAGGAACATTGAGAGTTCAAGGCCAGTCTGAGCTACATAGTGAGTTCCAGGTCATTCTGGGTTACATACCAGATCTGTTTCAAAAAGCCCCCAGATTCATCACTTCTTGTCTCCAAGTCTTACCTTCCTACTTAAATGATTTATAAACTCACATAAATGCTATTCTCAACTAAACTGTGAATTCTATCAATCAGATGACTTTGAGATAAAGAAAAGTGATGACTTAAATTGCTAAAGGCAGGTCTGACTTGAAATGCATGTAAACCTTCCATTCTGAAAAGCAATTCATCCACATAAAAATAGTCAAAAGGACTTCATTTAATTAGTGATGTGTAGACTTTTGCATAGAAAAATGTTACAAAGTAATGCAAAAAAGAAGTAGGTACAGCATTTTAAAAACAAATACTTAGAAGTATAATTTTGCATAATGTTTAACATTCTCATGTTTATTGCTTTCTCTACACAGCAGAGAAATGAGGTGCATAATACATGCTGTGTCTTCATCTTTCAAATATAAAGTCTCAGGTGCTCAATTTCAATGTATTAAAAGATTATTTTGTCATTAAACAAAATAAAAACAAAACATTATGTAGTACACTAGTCTAGGCATGGACAAAAATAATTTATGTACATCCGATTGCATACATTCATCTTGATTTGGGATCAAATGCAGTCACTAACTTCACCAAGAACATTTAAAAGTTGTGGCTTTTCTCTTCCCAATGCTCTCTCCTAGCCTCACCACCTCCAGAAATGCCAGGTCTTCCCAAAAGGTGACAAGAATAGATGTTACATGTTATCAGAAGAAAATGAAGAGGATAAATATATTAAACTAGTCCAAATGAAACTGAATAAATTAATGCAAACTCTTGCAAAGTGGAAAGTTTTCAAGTTGGCATGAATTGGCCTCCGGTAGGCACACAGTAGGCAACTGCCTCTAGATGCACTGTATAAATGTAAGGTTTATATAAAGAAGCACCACAGTTTGAACTATCAAAAAAAACCAAACAACAAAAAAAATGGTGCCTGGGGGCTTGCAGGCAGAGCAGAAAGGCTTGTTAATCTGGGCACTTATGGAATTATTGCTTACAACAATGCATTGTAATGTCACTGCTTGGCAAGTCTGTACACAGAAAGCAAACTAAGATAAAACTAGGTCTTTCGATTTGAAAATTATTCTCAGCAATCTTTTTGACCAATAAAACCTGTTGGTTTCAACAGAATACTCTATCCTAGCACTGAATTCTATGTCTGCAGCCTAATACAAGACATCGTTCCTTTCCTTTCTTAACTTAAAACCCAGGCTCTTCCTTACTTGTGCAAAGTTACATGCTCAGAAGGAAACCTTCCTTAGCTCAGGCACTTGTAAAACATGAGTTTTTTTCCCTCATCTAGTTTCAAGAGAATTCAGTCACGGCATTTTTCTTCCCCAATTCAGATGCACTGATGCACTGTTGGATGATACAGTCCATTTATTTCCAGGAAACTTAAATGGAAACAAGTGTGAAGTTTTCAAAAAAAAAAAAAAATACCACATTTCTACTCGTGAGGTTTGTGTCTCAAATAGCTTTATTGTTCCTTTGTGGATCTGTAGGCATTTGTATGGCTACCTTCAGGATGCAGAGGTTTTAAGCTGACCCTGAAATGAAGGACATTCAGTTACTATTGCAAGGAGTTCAACCATAAGTTAAAAGGCTCCAACTTCTGTCCCCCAGGGTCGGTAAGGTTTACTGTTTGTTCCATTGCTCGTTTGCTGAGGACTGGATGAGGCTGATACAGACAAGGGAGGGCTGATTGCTGTCGCGGCTGCCACTGCTGCGGCTGCATTTGGGGGGAGCATGGGGAACGCCCCCGCGAAGGACAGAGGGAAGCTGTGTGCGGCTGCGGTGGCCGCTGCGGCGGCGGCATGCACGGTGGCGGAGAGGGACAAGAGAGATGTGGAGAGAGGTGGCACACAAGGGGTGACGCTGCCCGTGGATGGCATCCGCAGGGCAGAATCTGCATGGGCAAACGTTGCTGTGAGTAGAGTGGAACCGTGAGCAGGAGGCACTTCGGAAGTTGTGGAGAGGTGACAAGGGGTTGACTCCGACACATGGAGTCCGTTGGGTTGGAGCAGGGCCGCAGGAAGATGGTGGAAGGCTGCTGCCCAGTGATGCGGGTGCAGTGGGTGATGGTGGTGGACCATGGAGGACGTCATTGCGGCGGCCTCCCGCTGGGAGGCGCACGTGCTGAGGTGAGAGACGAGGCGCACGCGCAGTGGGTCGGAGGAGTCCAGGCCTTCCACCGAGCTCAGGTATCGGGCTACTTCGGTTAAGCACTCTCGGAATCCGATGCTCATGAAGTCCATTGCCAGAGCGTGGGCATCAAAGTAGCCTACACGGGGTTGATGAGAGTGAGTGAACGGAGAGAGACGGAAGGGGAGAAAAGCGTACAGATCTGAAGAATAACCACCCAATGAAGAGCCACTCTGCCCTTCAGAAGATGGAAGTAGAAAACCCTTTCTGAAAATAGGGCCAGCTATTTATGGTCTTAATTTCTGCCTAAGTAAAGAAAGTACTTTGCAGCTTGCATGTGTGACAACTCTGGCAATGCACAGAATGCTACAGCTGTTCTTAGAACTCTCTTGAAATTTTAACAGAGGCTAAAGTACAACTTATCAGCGTGAGGACTTCCTTTAGAAATGTGTTAGAATCTTAATTCATAAGTGCTTCTTGACTCACAATGTTTTTTTGGCAACAAGGTGAAAGTATCTTGTCATCAGTTTGTATGAAATAAATTCAATAAAAACAAAATGAGTTTCTAAAAAATTTGGTTACTAATTTTATTATCATATTTTTCTATCAGGTAATACAAGGGAATTCTAATGCTATGAGATTACTATACTATAACTGCTAGTGTTTCTGAAGTTCAATACATATATATATCTCCTTCACTGGTTAGCTCACATTTTTCTGGCATCCGCCCGAGACAAAGTATATTAATTGTATCAGTATGGATGCACACTATGCTTATTACCATAAAAATGACTGGAGCTGAATCACCTTTATCAGAGACCCTCTTTTTTTCCCCCAGAGATAATACATTAGAATAGGAAGTAGTAATATCTGATTTTTATAATGCCAATTTAGGGTGCAAGAAAAGATATTTGGGATAATAGCACCCTCTTTGAATAAGTGACTTCTAGAATGTAAAAATGTATCCTTTTTAGATTTTTTTCATTTGCAACTTCTAAGTAAACTTCTAATATTCAGATTTGTGTATACATGAATGAGAAACAGCATATTCAAATAAGGCTATTTTTATGTTTTTACAGACCAAAAGTAGTACCTATTTCCTTTATCGTCTACTAAAAATTAGACTATCCTCATCTATAATCAAAGCACTTCAGAAAACAGTAGTCACACACATTCAACAGAAATCTGGAAGTTGGAAAAAGATGTTCTGGGCAAATACACTAGCCATTAAAACAAACGACAGCACAAAGCTGATATAAAAGAGTATCATGACGCCGGGCACCAGTGGCTCATGTCTATAATCCTAGCTATTTGGGAGATAAAATCAGGAGAAACATGGCTTGAGGCCAGCCCAGGCAAATAGATCAAGAGACCCCATCTCTAAAATACCCAGAGCAAAATGGGCTGGAGTTGTGGCTCAAGCAGTGGAGCGTCTGCTTTGCAAGCATGAAGCCCTGAATTCAAACTCCAGTCCCATTAAAAAAAAAAAAGAAAGGTAGAAGATTAGTAGTAAAGCTAGTTATCCTTCTAGGACCTTGTCATAGTTAGCAAACAAAGCCCCTGGATTAGGATGAAAAGCTATCCCTGAAGAGGTGTCCTCTTCTTGAAGGAATCACATTCCTCTTCAGGAATCACATTTTAGTCCTCAAGTTTCTCTGTAGGGGTTTTACAGGCTTCTGATGTTCGTAAGAGAAGAGAGAGGTAATGATTAGAAAGGAAGAGTCTAGAGACCCAGAGGGATTTAGAAACTGAGGTTACACTACCAAGTCTTCTTTAGAAACTATAATACCACTAAGACAGACTATAAAGAATGAATCAACTGAATTGGAATCTTAGGAGTGTCTAGAAATTTTCATTATTGGTCATGAAATAAGTGACCTTTGTGGTTTGCCAGCTGTGTTGCGGTACATGGCTGTCTTCTGTTGCACCTTAAGAAATATAAATTATGCAATTTCTATCCTATTGTGGAATGTAGAAAAAAATTAGGATGAGTGGCTGTCCCCTGGAAATGAACCATAACATGTCTATCACTACTTTCTCTGTGCTAGCATGGTTCTATGGGCTTTAAGTGAATTAATCCACAACAAACAATCTGTGAGGTGGACACTACATCACTGTCCTCATTTTACAGATGCTGAAACTGGGGCTCAGAAAGTGCTAGTAATTTACCTTAGGTTACAGAGCTGATAAACGGCAGAACCAGAAGTCACAATCAGGTAATCCAACCTGAGAAGTCCATGCGTCTCATCACTATACTGTGAGGCAGCTGGGAGTCTTTGACCATGTGAGCTCAAACTGCCAGCCTTCAAGACCTACTACACATTCTCCTGTGTGATGGCCTGAGAGTTGGGCAACTTTGCATAGCACCCACTTGGAAATGTCTGTTCACAAACTATTCTGGGATGAATTTTGGGACTGTTCAAGTAGCCAAGAATAGCAACTGAGATGATACTCAGTTTTTATTGTAAAGTCAAAGAACAACATTACTCTTTAGAAGTACAACTCACATCAACTATTTGAAACCCTGATAACTATTCTTAGTCTCATGGTTAACAATGCTAAGGGAGGTAGAGCAGTTGTACGACTTTCCTTGCACTGCCACGAACTCAATCAGTCACCTGCTACCCTGAAGTAGCAGGTGGAGAGACAGATTCACTGTGCTGCAGGGGCTTTTGGAGCTCATCCTGTTAGTTTAACCCTCAAAGAATAGCAGATTACTTCTGTCTCAGGTCAAAGGGAGTGGTCAAGCTGGACTGGATAACTGATTTCTACGATTTAATCCAGTCATCATCTCTATTTTATCAGAATGTTTGCATCCTATGATACTCGTTTTCAGAACAGTTCCTTGGGAAGGTGGGACTTGGGGTAATTCACACTATGTGGACTTCTTGTACAATGATCACCCCCTACTTGATATGGGTAAAAGATGGGTAAGGTCTGGGTTGCTGTTCTACCAGTTCTCTGAATGACAAAACCCAATTTCCCTCCAATGCCCTGACTGGCCCTGGGTCTAATGCCAAGCAAAGGAGGCCTCCAGGATTTTGTTGTAGTACTTAACTCTTTAGGGTACTCTCTCCTTATTCAGTTGTTAAATACACTGAATAACATTCTTGGCTGAGATGAGTATCGAAGGGTTCCTTGAAGGGTGAAAAAGCTATAAAAGGGCAAAATAAACTCTGAGTGATGGGTAGCTAAGGGGCACAATGAAATCTGAATGATTATTATAGCTTTTAGTATCTGAAGTGTATTTTCAGCACAAGATAGGGGGTCCTTCTCTTACCTTGTGAGCATTCTTCCCTAGTACAGAGGACAACTCTCTACAGCGCTGGGCCCACAGCACCTGCTCCTGTCTACGTTCCCTAGGAATAGTCAGTCTGCAAGGGTAATGGTTTATAGTCTAGACATTCACTACCTGCACTTCAAATGTGCTGTTTGGTCTAAAGCCAAGACCAACCAAAATCTGAAAACAACCACAAAAATAATTCTGGAGTCACTTCCTTTGTAGTAGCTAAATTATTTGAGCCCTAACCTTATTTAATGGGGTGCGTGGGGGGAGACTCTCTAACAACCTCCTGTTTATGTTTGGATGTTTGTGTGTTTGTTTTGTCTTTCAGTACAGATTCAGCATGCGCTTCTTAAATCCCAAACAAATCTCTGACCAGGCTGCTGTGAATGAAGCTTTACTCCCACAGTATTATGAAAGCAAACACAAGCCCAGGGTCAAGTGCTTCTTTTGTTCCAGAAGTTCTTTCCCACGAGTTCAATCCTGCCATTAGCATTGACTTCCACAGCTTGAATCTGGGGCCACCTATCTCAGCTCGTTAGAGAACTGTTCAACTAGGACTTCCTTATAATATTAGAGGGAAAAGATGAAAAGAGAAAGGTAGAAAAGGGGTAAAAAATGAAATCCCTTACATACCTTTTCCCCCTGTTGCCTGAAGCATCTTCAAATGATCCACTGTCATTTGCAATATTTCAGCTTTTTCTAACTTTGCAGATCCCTTCATAAACAAATAATAGTCTCATAAATTCTACAGAAAGTAATTTGGAAGATTATATACTGAATTTAGTATTATGGTTTCATTTTTCCCTGTCATTAGAAAGTTTAAAAAATCTGAATCTTTCCAAATTTTACATGAAAGTACCAATTACTATGTCACACCTGATAAGTATTTGTCATTTGAAGTATTAAAAACCAAAAGAAGGCATAAAAGATTTTTTTAAATTGTAAGAATAATTTTATTCCTAACAGTTCACAAAAACTATTTTAATGGAAAAAAAATCTCAAGCTTTGTATTCAATCTCTATGTTAGTTAATAATATATTTTGTTATGGAACACTCAACAGTAATATGCTGAAGTCTAGATATGTTGAATAGTTCAGTATTAACTTTGGAAGATAAGGACATATGATTTTAGCAAATTATTGTGAAAATAGTGTTTAAAAACAGAAAAATTTTAATGTCTTTAATGTAACTCATAAAATACCAACAGTAAACAGAACCAAAAAGAAAAAAAGACTTTCAAGGTTACCAGCAGGTGTCACTGTGAATGCCAAGATCACAAACAAAAAGGAATAATTTGTAGCTTAAGATATATCATAAATGCATACGTTTTTGAACCTTTGAAAACAGTTTTTAATAAAATTTTCTTGTAAACATAATTTTGTTGTCCTTCTCTTCAAAATAAAGCAACCTCTTGAAACCAACTGAAATACAAAAGCCTAATCCCAAACTGTCTCAGACGGATGTGGGTGGCTGCTAATTTTCTGGAAGAGCTAAGTAATTAAACCAAAACAAATTTTTTTTGAAAGGACTCTAAAGTTTATTCCAGGTCCCTATGCTTTGTTTGTCCTTTGAAAATTATCAGCACCTAGCACATGGCAGGAGTGCTGAGTTATTTAACTGCTTTAAAGAACACTCTTCTAATCAAATTGTGACTGGGCCAGCTTGCTGGAGTTGGGAGCCAAGCTCTACAAATGGGAAAGCTGGTGTTTATGGTAACTGACTGCCAAACAACTGAGGTTCTTAAAGTTTGTTTTAAGTCAGCATTTAACAACAACAAAAAAGTCTAAAACCAAGAAAAAAAAAATCACCACACTGACTGCTTCTCATAAGACATTTAAGAATTCAAAAGTTAAAAAAAATCATAGATTTTGACATTTTCATTTGCAATCTATTGCCATTGAATCTGCTACTAATCAAAAGTATAATTTCCCACTCTAATTAGATTATCAAAGACAGTCTCAACATATAAACTTGGTGTCTTTTTGTCTTAAAAATTACATAATCAATAGCATATCACATCTGTACTTTCGTCAGTGCTCAACATTTGCATGAAGATGTACGAGTAGTTTCAGTGAAAGTGACTAATAACTAACACTGCAGTTTCTGGACAATCTCCAAGGACTTGTTGGGCTTGTTTTATAATGTTTGCAGATTGACCAGGTAAACAAAAAATGGAATAAACAAACAACTGCTGTCTTGTACCCTATTTGGAATTCAGTTGAAAATATTTTCAATACAGACATGTTGCCACATCCTTTGAAAGACGCTTTTAGAAATCTGGGCCATTAGCCACTGCCGCAGGACGAGGATGAGAAACCATGAGAAACACGAGTTTTAAAAAACCACAAAGGAAGATGGGACATTCTACTTTCCTACGTGTGTGTGCGCGCGCGCGCGTATGCGTGCATTTTTTTGGCGGGTGGTGGTAAAGGACACCTGAACTGTGAAAAGCAGTACTTGATTTTGATGCCGTTTTATTTTTACCAAACTTCCAAAAATATGCCCCAAATCAAGCATCATTCTATTAACTCTGGGCTTAAAAATGAAAGCAAGTGGCTTGGTGAATGTATTAGTACTATTATTTAGGAAACAGGACATGAGATATCACTTATTTGGCTTTCATTATTTTTTAAATTAAAAAGAATACCTTTTAAAAAGTTTGAGAAAAAATGTATTTCACATGTGATACATATTTTTTTGAAGAAAACTACATACAACTCAGTTTAAAACAAAACCACTACTGGTATTCATAGAAAGAACAGAGAAAGCATGAGCACTGTTACCCTTAAGGAGAAAATAAGCTAAAGAATGGAAATGTTTTTCAACTTCATGATGGATTATGTTTTTAATAGTTTTGCCACAACAAAGCATTTTATTGAAATAGCTGCTCTGTGCCAGATCAGGGCACATACACCATTATTTTAATGAGCTTTAACAAGAACCCACATTCCCAGATGAGAGAATCAGATTCTTTGAGCTTTTTAGGGGGTGGGGGAGAGGGGGAGTAGCTTACTTGTTTTTCAAAAGCAGTTGGCACCAGTCGTCTCAACTCAGATAAACTGTTATTTATCCGATCCCGACGCCTTTTCTCTATAATCTATCCCAAAGAAAGCAAACCAACAATACATAAATGGTAAAATTACTCATAATGGAGAAACATGTTACATACTGATTACATGAAATAAAAAGAAAAAAATCACATACCCCTCTCCTTTTCTTTCTTGCCATAATCTGAGATGTTGTTGTTGGAGAATTCGATCTAATCACAGAGCTAGTACTTTGCCTATGAAATAGGAAGAGTTTGTCAGGTGCTGCATTAACATGACAATTGTTTCTTCTGGGTACTTCAAGACACCATTAAATATTCAGAGTGACTACACAGTTCATTATCTGTGTTATTTTGTTCTTAGTTCTTGTTTCACTCTTAGCAAACTTTGCTTTCAGCACTTTTCTGGTAGGAATTAAGCTGTTTGAAAAAAATGTTTTTAGTGGGTAATCTAGATGCCTGTTCCTTTTGCAAAAATGTCTGTGAACTTTTATTTGAGTCAGTGAAATAATTATGGGGGTTAGGGAGGGAAGTCAGTTATTGATATTTCCTATTTCCACTTATATCTATTTCTTAAAAGTCAACTCTTTTCCTTGAAGTGCATCCCTCCTCTCCCTGCTGTCAAACATACTGAACAAAGTAGTATCACTTTTTAAAATAAAGATAATATAAAACACCACTATCAAAAAATCATCACGTCTTAACTGTTGTCCCTAGACAAACAGATGTTATTCTACCATTTTGAAACTTCAATTAGTTTTATCTTATAACAGGAAAAAAAGCACAAATTCAAAGCTTTGTATACTAACTTCTAATTTGTACAGAAATTAAAATTAGGTTTAGTACTAGGTAGATGAGTTACTTTGAAAATGAAACTGTGGTGTCTCTCAGCCTTCAAACTAAGCTTAAATCTGCAACCCACCTTGAATTTACTAATGAAAACATATTTTTACATTGAAATTTCAATCAAATTACTATTTGATCACATACGTTTACATTCTTTTCTTGTTTGCACTTCTTTCTTTCATAATTTACAGATACTTGTTTTCCCTATGGTCTCAAATTCTCCAGGTCCCTTATTTGTTCTCTTTCATTTTAGAAATGTTGCACACACCAGTTTCCTATTACCCACCTTCTCACTTCTGGATCTTATTTCTGAATTAACTATCCCCTTCATTTTCACCCCTTCTCTACTGGTTTCACCTTTCACTTGACATCTTCCGTTTTTCAGACCTCATTTTTTTTTTTTTAAAGATGACAACACAACATTTCAACAATCAGATGCTTTCCAAACAACGTTTCATGGATCTTTGCTCTTCATGTTTCCAGGTTGGTTTGTACATATTAGAATAAGCATATGAAAGAAAACTAGTTTTCCAAAGGCAGGAAGAATTTTGCTCTTTGAAGGACAGCTGCAGATAAATAATTAAGGTGCTTCTGGGGATGCCAATTAGAGGCAATTATCATTTGACCCTCCGTGGCTCTAAAATGCCTCGGTAATCTCCCTCTGTCACAGGAGGTCTGGCTTCTGTGATCACGACGCCGATCTTTTCCAGACTTAAGAACAAGCAGTCAAAGAAAGGACGTCCGAGCTGATCCTCACATCTGTCACTCAACCGCGGGCTAGCCAACATCACACATCGTCAACCTGCACAGCTCAACCTACTCAGCCCTGACATGGCATGTCGCTTTAATTTCTCCAAAACCCAAGTCGTGTTCTAAGCTTCTTCAGAAATAAAAACTAACATAAATCAAGTTTTTCTTTTCCCCCGGCCTATTTTGGAAGTGCACCCAAATACAGTTGCAGTGGCAGGGGCGTCGCCAGCCGCGCCCATCCGCGCGCCCAGCGCTGACAGCTGGGGACCCTCCCTCGCCAACTCCTGCGCTCTCCGCCTCGGGGGTGTCCCGGGTCCTCCCCGCCCCACCCTAGCGTGGAGGCCCGCATCCGTCACCCCACCCCGGCCCGCGCTCCCCGAGCACCACTGCTCAACGCTTCTGGGGCGAAACTTTCTCCTCTCCACCAGGACGTGGTAGACAGGAGCCTCGGGATTTCCAAAGCTCCGGACACCCGCCAGCTCCGGGCAGTTCCAGCCCTACCCGCGCTCACCCAGAGTAATTGTTCTCACTGCCCACGTCGATGGTCTCGTCCATGTCGCTTTCGGAGGTCGTCTCCTCGCAAGGGCGCTTCATCGCGGCCACGGCGGTTGGAGACGCAGCCGGGCAGCAGCCACCGACACTGAGCCCGGCGCAAGGCCCTCCCCGCCTGCCTCCTCCCGCCCTCCCTCCCTGGGCCTGGGCAGGCGCGGCTCCCGCGGCGGCGCGGTCGGCTCCTCCGGGCTCTTTCCCACGCCGCAACCCAGCTCCGCCGCAAGAGCAGGCGCCGGCCACGCCCCCCTGCGCGGGCGGGGCCCCCTCTCCCGCCCCCCGCGAGCCGGCCGCAGCCGCCCGCCGGGCACCGCCCCCTCAGGGGTCGGCATGGCCTGCTATTGGCTAGGGCGGAGGGGCGGGGCTGAGTTCGCCAATGCCCGCCGCCTTGCAGCGGCCGAGGCGTGGGAACTGCTGCCGCGCACCTGGGACCCGTGAGCTGCGCGCGCGGGCCGGGAGAGGCCGCGGCGACCTGTGAGCGCGGGCTTCGAAACTCCAGCGAGTGGAGCACGCGGACGCCGATGCGGGCGCGGCGGGGGCGGGCCCTGGACCTCGGGTTTCGGCTCTTGTCCACACCCAGCGGTCCCTCCCGTGGAGTTTGAGTCCTGTGTTTAAAGAATAACCCCGAGCGCGTGGCTGAGTGCGAAAGAGCGTGTGTGACGTCGGGAGGCGCCGGGGCTTAACCGAATCGGCTGTCCCTTGTCTGGACCAAAACCGCCGACTGGCTGACCAGAGCGGTCACATTTGCCCTCTGGGGTTTTTGAAAACCTTAAATCAAAGTTGTTTTTCACCCAGACAGCTAACTCCCGAGGCTACTTCGGCAGCCTCTGTGTTGTGGGCGGATAAGGACGCGAGTTCCCCCGCCGGGCACCTACCCCGGGGCGGTCCGAGGGTCCGAGAGGTCGGCCCGGTAAGATCCGGCTTTGCTGAACCTCGGTTATTTGCATGTCGCCGTCGGCCTCGGGGACCGCAGATAGCAGGTCGGGCTGAGTAGACCGTGGGCGGCAGTCGTGATTACTCTGATGGTGGGAAGGGCTAGAGCACCGAAGGGGGGAGGATGTCAGAACAATTTTAGTAGGTTTGCAAGCTCTAGTTTCTCAGCTTGAATTATTCGAATAAATGCCTCTCTCTCCCTTCAACTCTCCCTCGTGCGTGCAGCCCCAGAGTTCATTAGAATCCGGGAGGTGAAGAGTCGTGCTTGGAAACTGAATTTGTTCTGTAAAGTACCGATTCGTGTCCCATAGTTCCTAGTGCTTTGGACAAAGTGGTTTGTCAAGCCAGGTTTTCGAGCTGCGTTTTCTAGGTTCTGTAGGATTTTTGAACCCGCGACACCGACGTGTCTCCACCAGGGCAGGAAGTGAACGAGACCGAGCCGCGTAACCCGGGTCCGCTGCCCACCCCCCCATCCCTAACCCCCGCCCGGGCGCCGCGCTTTTGAGCCGAGCTGGGTTGGTGGTTGGTTGGGGTCCAACCCGGACTCCCCACGTTGCGCCCGAGAGCTCTGCGCTGGGCGGGTGTGTGTGTGAAACCATTGAGAAAGGGGCGTTATCAGTCACCGCAACACTCGGCCACGTACATTGTGGGGATCTACATAGGACATCCCTTCGACACCCCATTCTCTTCCCATACATAACCAGTGGGGCCGGGGGGAGAAAAGGAAAAGATGCGACAGGAAAAGACTGGACGCGGACGAGCATTGGACAGGGGGAGAGCGGGAAGAAGTGTGGACCACGTAGAGGACCTGCAACTAGCGTGTTAAGCCCTCATCATAATGCAAAAACCCCTCCTCACACGCCCAGGTCGCTTTTGTGCGGTCCCCACCGCGGTGCCTTCCATAACCGTGTGAACAGAAATCTGAAACGTTCCATCCTGACTTATGAAACTTAACCCCAGGCAAATTACACAGTCGGTGGGGACCGGGCGGAGCCTGGCGGGGCGGGATGGGGTTAGTGCTGGACCGCCGAGCCGCCCGCGGGTAGCTGTGACTCCCCAGCTCAGTCATCAGCTGCAAGGCGGCTTCAGCCCGGGAGCGCTGCTCAGGACAAAGCTGGCGGGCATCCCGATGCCACCCGGGAACGCTCCGGGTACCTTTAATTCAACTGAGGATGAGACCAAAGCCTATGGGTTCTACGCCTCACTTCCCCAACCCGAGTGCGGTGGCTGGCGTGCCCCAGACAGGTGAACGCGCCACACAGGCGCGAGCTCAACCTTCACCACTCTTAGCCAGGGCAGCATGTTTTTTCTGAAAGCCAGAGTCTACAAATGCAATTAACGTTTGCCACGCGAGCAAATTAGCGGGCGCTTCCAAACGCCCAAGGCAAAACCTGAAATCATCATTGGAAAAAAAAAAAAACCTAAGAGTTTTTTTTTTTCTCTCTCACCATACTAGCATATTTAATTATCATGATTGAGAAAAATTGTAGTGGGAAATGGTTTTGCTTGTAATAAAGTAGCAACTGGTTAAAGTTTTCCCAAATTTTTCTTTGAAGACTTAACCACTGTACCGTGTCATAAAGAAAAATATAGCTGGGACGCTTGAAAGCACACACGGATTTAATATTGGTTAAAAATGTTCTTTAAGCAGAGTGTCATATTTTTAAAGCGTTTAGAACAGTGCCTGGTACATATATGCTATATGTCTGTTAAAGAAGAAAGTATATAGCAAATACCATTTTAACAGCATCAAAAGAATATGCTCATTTATCTTTAAAATACTTAATTCCAATTAGAGCGATTTTTCCATTAGATCTTTTATTCCCTTCGAGTATCCCATTTGTCTTGTCTGTCCTGGGTGTCTGTCTGGGTCAGAGAGCGAAACAGAGAGGAAACGCTTTAGAGTCCCAGCATACATAAAAACGGTCGTGAGTTGGAGCGGGGTGGTGTGTGGTGGAGTGAGGGGTTGTAGGGGTGTTGTCTGCAGAGAGAGAAAGAGAGAGAGAACCCGGGATTTTAAGCCTCATTGCCCCTCTGCGACATCCTTTTCAGGGAAGTTGGTGGAAGGCTTACGAAGAACCAAAGCAGAAGAAAAGATGTCCGCGCGCAGAGCAAACTGCATGCAGTTCCTTCCTTTCTTTCTTTTTGAAAGACTTGAACAATGAGATAATTAGACCGATAGATACGTGGGGGGGGGGGTAGCGGGAGGACTGTCCTAGAAACGAAGTGCCATTGGGAAAGAAAGCAAGAAAGCCCAGGGCCACAGATCTAACAGGAATGGAGGAGGGGAAAGAAACCCAGTCGCCTTCCCGAAATTGGTTATCTTCCCGAGTTTTGTGCTTAAGTTATTTAGCTCACTTAGTGGCGCGAGAATGAGATGAGAATGCAGAGATCTGGAAATAGATTCGATGGTTTTGATCTTCTTCCCCTACAACTCTTTCCCTACCCGCTTATTAATAAGTTAGTTTTCCCACGTATCTCGACAAGGTGTTGCATAAACTGATGAAATGATTGCTTTTCTGTAATTCTATAATTTCCCTGCAGTATTTTGGGAACAAATGGAAATCTTTTATTCTTCTTGGTCTGTTTTTTTTTTTTTTCTGTGTATACTTTAGAACCTTCTGTTTTTTGAACATTAGTTGTCCAACTTTTTATCAGTTGTTTCTCTGAGTCCTTTGAGTCCCCAATTACTTAAAAGGTCTGGGCAACATCAGTTTATGCCTCTTTTTAAAAATGTTAAAAGTTTCTCAGTAAAACTAGGGCAGTTCTGTTATTTAGAGACTTCTGTGTTAGTCTGAGAAGCCTAAATGCACATAGTTCAAATTGAAAAGTCCAATATTTTGCCTCCTTTGAAATGTTGTGATTATTTACACAGCTTTTTCTTGCAAAGGAGGGAAAAGCCAGGTTTTCCTTTTTGTTAGACAAGTATTAGTCTGTTTACAATTGCTGGGACAGGTGATAAGCACCTGCGTATCTGTGGGCTGCCTTGTTAGGCTGTTTTCCCTGACTATAAGGCTATTACTGTGAGTTGGCAAAGCCTTAAAATGTGTAAGAATGCTCCCTGGGAGTGGAGGCCAAGGACAAAATTCTTGTAAATTTCAATACCTTTCCCAACATCAGGCTGGCAGTAGGCAGGCCAGTCTAGGGTCACTTTGTGACACAAATTTGCAAAACAAAGCTGAAATCAAGGACAAATTTAGGCCCACCAACCTTGAGGTCATCTTTAAAAGAGAACTGCTTTTCCCTTCAACAATTAATCCTGACTGGTTAGCTACATAATATACATCATATTTCTTGGCTTGTCCTCGTAGGTGCTCCTTATGCGTTACATCACCGGCTCCAAGAGAGGAAATCTAAGCTTCAAAACCCCCTTTCCTGGAAGTTGCAATGTTTAAGTTGATCTCCAGGACAGTTTATTTAAAAGCTTTTATTTCATGGTGTTTTTAGTGTTAGTGCTTACTACATGCCCAAGGATGGTTTTATTCAGGATCCTTGAGAAGAGGAACCAGTTTTCCACACCCAAGTAAGCAATAGTCAGAAGGTATCAGCACTCACTGTATTAACTGAACTGAGTGTTGAATTGATGTTGGCAGGCTTTACTTTTAAGGAAAATACTTAAATTTCCATATCTGTGAAGTTGGTTTAATTAGCAGATTTTTCCTCTTTTCTAAGGATACAGTGAAACACTAATTTCCCTCATGAAAATCACCTTTTAACTAACTATCTTCATCCTCTATATATAATAATGCCTGGCGCATAGTGGATGCATAATAAATGGTTTAGAATGAATTTCTTGTTAAAATTAATGAACTCCCCGTTCTTTCCATGAATATAGATTTTAGATACATTGGAATAATAAAATAGAACTGAACAAAATAAACTAAAAAGTCATGAAAACATGAAAAGAATATACTGAAATATGAGCAGAAAACATTTACTTTGAATGGGTTCTTAGGTCAGCCCTCATCTTCTTGGTGGCAACTCAGAAGAGAAACATAGTAAAATTTCTAATTTTTATAACCATAAAAGTGAAAGTATGTAGTTAAAAAAAATAAAACCCAAGACTTTACTCAGTCACTGAATTTTAAAAGAATTGCATGATTGCCTTGGTCACAAACTTTAAAATTTTATTTTAATTATTTGAAACAATTATTTTCTTTGTCTAAAATTCCCTTCCAAGTATCTCCATTAATTATAACATGAAAAATAACGTTGACAAGATACATAAATGGAGACAATAGTTTATCTCCTAATTGCTGAATAAGTCAT